AATTTATATATAATTGTTTTTCGTGTCTTTATAACTCATACTTATTCGTTGTGTACATCATAACCCTAAATATGTTTAGGCGCACATCTAGGAGACAATCCAGTCAAATCACCCAAGATTCTTCATCACGCAATGAACAACAAAGTTCTTCTACACCCTACAAACGTCAATGCTCAACTAGTCGAGCAGCATGTGGTGTAAACGTAGTTCGTTTAGTTGAATCCTACACAGTTTCTACCGGTGTAACTTGGTATGGACAAAAGCGTGAGTTCTGTAATGAGCCCATCGACCCTTATCACTCATTCGATCAAGTTGGACACGTATTTGTGGGGCCTGCGACCGACTCTCCACCTCCGAGTGTTCGTATCGAACCCACGCCAAGATGGCAACAGTTATATGACAAACGTTGTGAACTTAAANCCCTTCTTCAGCACGTTCTCATGCGATGTGACGAAGGTTGTAACGATTAAGACGAATTGTCATGCGATTGTTCTCAGCTCGAAAACGATACAATGCTTGCTCCAGTTGTTGAGGTGTCTCAATTGACATATGGATGACAATTTTTCGAGGCTTTCGTAAATTGCAAGTTTGCATATCGCCAATAAAATTTTCTTGCTCCGTCAGACGATATTACAATTCAGCCCTCATAGTTCTTATGGCCCTGCTAGAATAACGTAAACAAAAATTCATTGGATAGAAAAACTCATCCTCTAAGGCCCAATGGTAACCCATATTTTCATATAAAGTTCTAACACTATAATTCATGTTAGAAATCAGTTGATGTGCACTTACTTGCGTAAAGATTGTGAATATATAGTGACTACACAAATCTCCCAACAACTGACCATATCAGTCCTAACACTGTCTTGAAGTGACAACTAACTGCTCTATCATAATGCTGAAGAAGAAAAAGTGACTACTCATGACTACTTAATGTTATGTATTGAAGTGACTACACCCTGAATGGATTTCAGCAGACCATGTGGTGAAGTGAAAAACGTTGAATGGATTTCAATATACCGTGTGCTGAACTAACTTATCCCTGAATGAGTTTCTGCAAACACTATTTTGAAGTGATAACTAATTGCTCTATCATTAATGCTAAAGAAGAAAAAGTGACTACTCATGACTACTTAATGTCATGTGTTGAAGTGACTCCACCCTGAATGGATTTCAGCAGACCATGTGGTGAAGTGACAAAACGTTGAATGGGTTTCAACTTACCGTGTGCTGAACTAACTTAACCCTGAATGAGTTTTTGCAAACACTGTCTTGAAGTGACAACTAACTATTGTATCATAATGCTNTGTATACTGTCGTTGGCATGGATTAATGGTACCGAAGGCACGTTTAACTGATATATATGATCCACAAAATTCTACCAACCATAACAAGATCATAGTAAGGCTTGAACGTGAAAATGATCAAATGCAGCGTAGACTTGATCGTTTACATGCAATCGACCATGCAAAAATTGAGCATTTCAATTCTTATTATGCTAAGATTGAAATTTTGCAGGATCCGTTACTTGTTTCAGATACAGAATTGTCTGATTATTCCGATTTAAGTGATGATACGTCTGACACTTTTATTCTATCGAGTTTATGTGTACTGAGCAACCCTCTATGTTATTTTCTACATCAACCAAAATATTGACAAACTATATTTCTTACAGTTTGATGTAATAAATTTGTTATGTTGTAATGTATAAGTAATATTTTTCATATTTTAAAGTTCAACACACTTTTGTAGGTCAACTATAAATGTTCGTTGAACTAATAACATATAATTGGAATACATCATTTTTTAACATATACAAAAAAAATTTAAAAATAAAACATTTTTCAAAACCATGGCTTTAAAGTGACGTTTCTAAAAAAAAAATGAGTTTGAGAAATAAGTGTGCTTTCAAAACACGCTTTTAAGTTTTTTTATTAAATATATAATATGAAATTAAATTATTTTTTTATGAATTTTATTTTCGATTATAAAATAAGTTAAATATTTTTATGAACAGGAAATTAAATTCCAAAATTTATTTAATTTTTTTTCTGGTGAATCATGATGTGATACATAAGGTGGGGTTATTTACCTTTTATGACATTTGGTGTAGAAAACGTCAATGTAAAAGGCTAANCTTAGTTATTACAAGAGCGGAACGATGATTACAAGAATGAGAGATTTTTAGATCCAAAAGAGTATTATGCAGAGAGTGGGCTTTTCATGCTAAAGAATCAGACGAACTATTTACATAACTAAGAGAACTTGGCATACCAGTGCCTCGTAGACAATCACTAACAATGCAACGCCGGAATAGAGAGGACTACGAATCAGTAATAAAACAAGTTCGAAAAGAGAATAATAGAATGTTGGTTCGTAGGTCTCGCTATTATATGCTCCAACAAGCAAAAGACATGATGGGAAGTGCACATGGACGAGAGTTGACACCAGTTGAGCAAAATAATATATTGTCTAATACACAATACATGTCAGATGATTATATGTCTGATGAAGCTTAACAAAATATGCATTTGTTCATTACTGACATAGCAAGACTTTCTAACTAGTGTAATATCAAGTCTTGTTAGTCCTTTGTATTTGAAGTGTTGTGTATTTACTTTTGCGTTGTGAACTCATTACATTGCTNGCGTTTTTAAACACATCATTGCAAATGACGTTTTATGCCCTTTTATTTTTTAAACATCTGTTAGAGGTTCTTGTTATAACACGTCATATAAATGACGACTTAAAAAACGTCATTTTTAATGACGTTTTTAGGGAGAATACGTCATTGCAAATAACGTTTTTTAAAAAAGACTGAATTTGAAAATTTTGTTTAAAACTAACTGGGTTATAAAAATAAGTTTTTCGTGGGGTATGGGTTTGGAGAAAACCTCAGTGTACTAGGCTCCTGCTTATGTTTGATCTGGAGGCTAGAAGCTCGTGTANTTACTGACAAGTCATGTTAATCCTTTTGTCATTCACGGGTTATTTAACAACTTTATCAGTGTGGAGTCATATCATTACTTTACCTATGTCAAGTCATGTTACTNACGTTTTTAAACACATCATTGCAAATGACGTTTTATGCCCTTTTATTTTTTAAACGTCTGTTAGAGGTCCGTTAAAAACCTCAGTGTACTAGGCTCCTGCTTATGTTTGATCTGGAGGCTAGAAGCTCGTGTATTGGACAGAATATTTCACTTGGCTGTTGGTTGTGGACATAAATTCTAAGTTTTTTAAGGTCAAGGTTACTATTTATTTGAAGAACATAATGTTCTAGTGACTAAATCTAATCGAAGCAGCACATAAGATTCTTAGCAATTTAACATGTATTGATGAATTATAAAGGCATGGCAATATACAATAGTAACTAACACTTTGGTTTCCAATATTTTCTGGAGTTTTTTTGCCCTATTTATCTGCAGTGTACAACTCATTGGCACCTACTTTTTTACAGATCACTGTTACAATCAAGCATTAACTGTTATAGCTTTGTAATAAAACACCTATAACAGAGCGAATCGCTACCCTAGAGGNTCTGGTGAATTATGATGTGAGACATAAGGTGGGGTTATTTACCTTTTATGACATTTGGTGTAGAAAACGTCAATGTAAAAGGCTAAGGGGTAGAAAACGTCATTAAACATAAATGGGAATAAAATATGAAATTAAATTATGCTTTTATGATTTTTTTTTCGATTATAAAATAAGTTCAACATTTTTATGACAAGGGAATTAAATTCTAAAATTTATTAATTTTTTTATTTTTTGTCTACAAAATCATGGTATGAGATTTATTACAAATTGGTGATTCCAAGACTTTTGGGGTAGAAAACGTCAATGTAAAAAGGCTAAGGGGGTAAAACACGTTAATGTAGGGCTAAGGGGTAGAAAACGTCATTAAAAAAAATAAAGGGAATAAAACGCACTTGCAAATGACGTTTTTAAACACATCATTGCAAATGACGTTTTATGCCCTTTTATTTTTTAAACGTCTGTTAGAGGTCCGTTAAAAACCTCAGTGTACTAGGCTCCTGCTTATGTTTGATCTGGAGGCTAGAAGCTCGTGTATTGGACAGAATATTTCACTTGGCTGTTGGTTGTGGACATAAATTCTAAGTTTTTTAAGGTCAAGGTTACTATTTATTTGAAGAACATAATGTTCTAGTGACTAAATCTAATCGAAGCAGCACATAAGATTCTTAGCAATTTAACATGTATTGATGAATTATAAAGGCATGGCAATATACAATAGTAACTAACACTTTGGTTTCCAATATTTTCTGGAGTTTTTTTGCCCTATTTATCTGCAGTGTACAACTCATTGGCACCTACTTTTTTACAGATCACTGTTACAATCAAGCATTAACTGTTATAGCTTTGTAATAAAACACCTATAACAGAGCGAATCGCTACCCTAGAGGAGTGAAGAAAAGCCAAAAATTGGATACGGTAGAAGTCCCCAAGAGGGACACATAAAGAAATCCTGCCTGTCTTTGGCAAGAGTTGACACCTGAACTTCTTGGTTGGCAGAATCACAAGAAAATCAAGATTCACCTATTTAAGATATAGTGTGGATATAGAGGCTCTTGTGGAAATGCAGCAACTAAAACACAAGCCTAATGACACAATAACACAAGTACTAAGACAACTAAAAGCTCTACAGGAAAATTTCACCAATCTACTTGTGCTGGTAAACAAGGGGGAGGTTGTAAATGCTAGCCCTATATTCACTGCCGAATTCTAGATTGGAAACCAGCATGCAATATCTCCATATCAGAAATACATACACAAGGTACATACACATATATGGGCAATGCTGAGTATAATAAAACTTCACCATAAGGCAAATGAAAATGGAACTAAATTGTTATACGTTTCCTTTGATATTTTCAAAAATATTTCTGTAATGAAATATATTTGGGTAACAAATTATATATATAATGAGATAGGGAGAGAGAGAAGCTCTCCGAAGCAAACAGAAAAGTAGCAGTCCTCTAATTGTCAAGATCATGAAAAACTGGACTGGCTTCAAGCTGCTCTGCAAATTTCTCAAGGATCTCCTTCAGAAGTACCACAAAGTCATTCTTCTCTGATACTGCAGCAAGCTTTCCATTATTTATATCGGCAAATATTGCATCATAGAGAAGAATCACCACTTCATCATCTTGTAAGGGCGGTAACCCCAACTCCTTCCCATTTATCTCAAGAAACTTCCTAATTATGTCTGTACTCCTTTGCTCATTCTTTTGATGATGCTTACGCATTATCCTCTCTACTGTGTCGTCCAGTAGCTTTTCATTGGCCAGAAGCTGCATCATTGCTCAAGAGACAAACAAATTTATCAAATAATTCTAATACTTCCTTTTACATCAGCAGGAATTATAATTTCAAATTTGTTGAAGCCCAAATCAATTCTATTTTGCCTTTTCATCATGTAGGCAAGCAGGNCGCTTTTTACGCATTATCCTCTCTACTGTGTCGTCCAGTAGCTTTTCATTGGCGAGAAGCTGCATCATTGCTCAAGAGACAAACAAATTTATCAAATAATTCTAATACTTCCTTTCACATCAGCAGGAATTATAATTTCAAATTTGTTGAAGCCCAAATCAATTCTATTTTGCCTTTTCATCATGTAGGCAAGCAGGGTATCTCAAACATTTAATACGCAGATAGCCCAAATGCTGTAAGCATTTTTCATAATATTTGCCAAAGCTCTAAGACTAATTCAAAGAATTTCAAGGATCACAGATAATGGCATATAATTCTTTCCTCTTTTTATGATGTGCGCTTCCCTCATTCCAAGTTTCCAGTTTAACCTTTTCCACTTATAAACCATTCAATCATCAATTTTTTACTATGTTTATTATTTTGCAATACTATTATCCCCCAATTTAAACATGAGATAACTGCTTGTGGTGAAATGTTGAAAGAGAACATAAAATGTGTTGCTGGCAGTTCTTGTTTTTTCATTCATCTGAAATAAATGCTGCCAAATCGATTCAAATACAGCAAGCAATTTAATGTTACAGTTACCAGAAGACGGGCAATTACATACCTTTCTTAGCTGAGAACCATTATTGACCTTGATGTTCTGGATGACAACAGCATGCTTTTCAGCCAGGGCATCTGCCAATTCCTGCAGAATCGGCTGTAGCAATTGAGCAAATTGTGCTTGCCCCAATTCTTCATCCCCCTCAGCTACATGTTTCTTTAAGATATCAACTAGTTGAGGGAATTCTGTTCAACAACAAAATCGTCAAGCATTGCAAATTACAGGCTGGATGATGGAATTCAAGGGAACTTGGTAAGGAACAGTCAAACGGTGGGCACAAGGGAAATCTTGATGGAGGCTTTGCCACTAGTGCAAACCTTGGACATTACCCCTCCCAAGGGTGGCAGAGCTCTCAAACCTAGACCATGAGCCTTCGTAATCACCCATAAACCTCATCCAGGAAGGAGGAACCCAGCTAAGCGAATTAGATTAAGGATAATTACCCAATTTGGTCCCCATTCATTGAGGTACTGAATAGAGGTGGACTGTGGGCTGGTTACAAAGTTGATATGTGGTATAAATTACACAAAGAGTCTGACCTCCTAGTCAAATCCAAAAATGTAACAGTCATACAGTAAAAATTTGAAAATTTGAGTCAAACAGTTCTATTCCAACCATAACCCACAATAAATCTATATCTATTCATGGATGAACCAAACATGATAATAGAGCGATGCTTCATTGAGGGTACTTGGTAGCATAGGTGTTAGTATCGTACGATATGCAATATTTATCGTATAATACATTTCCATACATGAAGAAAATAATATGTATCGCTTAGGTGTATTGGATTTGCACTGTATCATACGATCTGTCTGATATGAGACGATACACACGAGTTGTCCGAGGCAAAACTTTTTTTTTTTTTTGGGGGGATTTTAACTAGAAAATGATTTCCTTTCACACGGAAGTAATTTTTTTTTTAAACTAGGCAGTGAAACGATATCATTTCACTATCTAAGGTTTTAAAAAATAAAAATCTTCTTTTGTACTTCGTTCCATCACAAGTGCAAATAGTTTAATTGTTAAAAGTGTCCTCTTCTGGCTCCTTTAGATGTTTGAACTAGAACCCTCAAAATTTTGATATTGATGAATTACATTAGAACCTTGAATACTTAGATTGTTAACTTTTTGTTTTGGTCATTGTAGTCACTTTAAAGTATTTTATGTGATAAATTTTTGGTGCAATAAAATGCTATTATTAACTTTTCTCACAAGTATACATATTTTTAATATCTTTTATAAAATTGCAACCATCTTACAATACACAATATGTTACGATACGTGATACACGATTTTTGAAAAATTATACGCCTTTCGATACACATTTTGATTAGGGTTGACTTTGTGACTTAATATTTTGTGTAAATTACAGCATCCGACCTTGTATTGAAACCCACAAACTTAATATTCATATAGTAAAACTTCAAGTCATACAGTATTATTCCAACGCATAATTGGAAAAATCCAACGATCATTCGATATTGAGTTCAATGATGAACCAAATCTGACAATAAACCAGTTGTGTGAGTATGATAAAGTCTCAAACATATAGATCATCTAGATGTGCAAAAGTGTAGGCTATCTTAACGAACATGATGGCGCAATTACAGTCAATAGTGAACTGCAGCTAGTGGATGTGAAAGTGAAGCATATGAGCAAATATCTAGTGAAGCATATGAGTCAAATTGTCAAAATGTCCAAGCACATAGTTGTCAATGAAGTAATAAACCTTCTNATAAACACAGAGTCAAATTGTCAAAATGTCCAAGCACATAGTTGTCAATGAAGTAATAAACCTTCTCTATGCATCATATCGTCAAACGCTATTAACACTAAAATTTGTCATAAAGCAGCCACCCACATGCTTACCATAAAATGTGGGAAGAGAACAAAAATAAAACATTAGAACCTAGAAGCATATGGTAATTTGATTTTCTACCACGCTTAAACTTTCCATTTTGAACTCTCTGGGACAAGGTAGCTTTACCTACCATAACTTCAAATGGTGTAAAGATCAAGCATGTAAACTAGGACATTAATTTCCACATCAAAATGATATTTCTTCAGGAACTTACAAAAACCTTTGAATACTTTTTTGGGTGGTGAAGAATAGTTGGGTTTAAGCACTAATACCTAGTGGTGACTGTCATGGCAGACGGAACGGAGAAGAAATGAGGTAATGCCACTTAAACAAAATACAGAAGAAGTATATAAATCAAAATTTCCAGTTTTGTAGTTGTCTTGACCTGTATAGGGTTATTGCATGTTTTTGCCCCTCAAATTCATACTCCATTTTAACCTACACTTGATATTCCATTACTAAAGTCAAAAACAAGGTGTCACAGCATCTCCAATCCTGATGTATAGGAAGGGGAAAAATTAGGGGATTAGAAGAAAAGAATAAAGGGATGAGAAATCAAATGGGAGAGGAGAGAACTTGGGGAACAAGCAATATCAATATTCACAAATAATCAAAATCTGCCAAAATAAATGCCACATCCCCTATATGTATAGGGAGTACAAACCCAAATGCAACTAAATAGTCAAAATGACAAATAAGTCTCAAAAGTAAAATGACAAATAACTCATAATCCCTACGTCTATGCCTACTGAAACCAAAAACAATCCAATTCCCATCAATTCATTTTGTTGCTGGTAACTTGATCCAACAAACTAACAAAAAGTATCCCAAAATGTTTTAGAAGTTGTGTAAATATGAGGTACAAGACATCTTTCTTGAAAGAAAATTTCAATAGCAATCTCTTTCTCTAGTATCTCATTATTGTAGTATATACTGGACATCCCTTCCCCACTATTTATGACTTAAAGGGCATTGACTAGTGTATAATGTGGCTGCACATGAATGCATCATGAGTGCGCGAAAAAAAAAAATTAAAATTCTTTGATGGGTTCTATTTCAAATGTGGATGACGATGCATGCTTCCCTAATGTTTCGGAATGATGAGAACTCAATTCCACCTTTCTTTCATCTCTTTCACTTAGTTTGTTGGCCCCTTTTATGCTTATTTTCCCACCCAGATGTCTCAAAGGAAAGCATGTTGAAACCAAGTATGTTAATGAAGGATCTTAGTTATGCTTATAACTCCCCAGCAGATTTGCATGTGCTCAAAGACATCCACACTGGCGTATAACAACTGATTCAATGATACCGCTATTTCTTGTGAGTTTTCTACATTTCTAAGCAAATTTAAAAATCCAGACTGCCCAGAAACTGTATAGTGTGAGAGAGTCACCCTAACTTAACATGAAATGCTACATAAAAATCCAGGCTGCCCAAAAACTGTATAGTGTGAGAGAGTCACCCTAACTTAACATGAAATGCTACATGTAAAACTACTGACCCCAGAATACAAAAAAGGTGCATACAGCTTTCCAAAAAAGTTAATATAAGAAATTACAGTGGACCTTGGTTGACAAAGTGGTAAGAAAGAAAGTAGCGGCTTCTTCATTTAGACATCTACCCATACTTATCAAAATCGTACGATTTGTGATTCAATTCGATACAGGTACAAAACAATTCTTATCTTATATGAGAATAGTTTGAGTTGAATCGCACCTGAATCGTATGATTCGATTCGTATCGCATGAATTGCACGATTCAATTATTTTTTTTAAAACCCAAATTTTTTGCAGAACGACATCGTTTTGTTCGCTAAATAATAAAATGACGTCGTTTTGTTCGCAAAGGAACCCACGCCCTAATAAAAATTCAACCTCTTTGCTCGTTCTTTCTCTGACGTCGTCTAAAACTCGCCTTGCGTTATCTAAAACTAAATGTCACAACTAACGCTCTCATATCATCTATTGATTTTCGCTCTCAATTTTTTCATGGATAGTTTGTTAGATATAATTTTTTATTTCAAAATTTTGACATGTATGTTTTCTCTCAATCAATTTTCTTATTTGTTCTTTTTTCCATTCATGTTTATAACTTAATCTATACTGGATATCACTATTTTGGTTCTTGAATAGTTATGATTCTTNCGCAAAGGAACCCACGCCCTAATAAAAAATCAACCTCTTTGCTCGTTCTTTCTCTGACGTCGTCTAAAACTCGCCTTGCGTTATCTAAAACTAAAGGTCACAACTAACACTCTCATATCATCTATTGATTTTCGCTCTCAATTTTTTCATGGATAGTTTGTTAGATATAATTTTTTATTTCAAAATTTTGACATGTATGTTTTCTCTCAATCAATTTTCTTATTTGTTCTTTTTTCCATTCATGTTTATAACTTAATCTATACTGGATATCACTATTTTGGTTCTTGAATAGTTATGATTCTTTAATGAATTTTTTTTCAAGTTATTGAATTTGAAAATAGTTAAGTAAAAGATAAAAATGAAGTAAAAGGTTAGCGTCTTTCCATTTAGACGACGTGATTATGTCAATTGATTATATTTAAAATGCAATAATGTTTAATATTCAATATTTTTTATATTTTAAATATGTAATATTATTTTTTATTTTTGTTTAAATTTTGTGTTAAATCTTACTATTCACGATTCAATACAATTCACGATTCTCAAATTTAAGATTCTGATTCACGATACGAATTGCGATTTGACAACTATGCATCTACCGATCAATAAAACAGGACAAATACCAATAGTTGATATCCAATCATTACTTAACAATACTAGCAAANGTGTTAAATCTTACTATTCACGATTCACGATTCTCAAATTTAAGATTCTGATTCACGATACGAATTGCGATTTGACAACTATGCATCTACCGATCAATAAAACAGGACAAATACCAGTAGTTGATATCCAATCATTACTTAACAATACTAGCAAATTAATAATGCAAAAAACCAATTAGACTTTATTGATCCCAACTGGTCACAATGTTTCACAATATCGCCTANATAGTTGATATCCAATCATTACTTAACAATACTAGCAAATTAATAATGCAGAAAACCAATTAGACTTTATTGATCCCAACTGGTCACAATGTTTCACAATATCGCCTAATGAAGAAATTGAGAAGAACAAAACGACGCATACCTGCAAAAGGAGGAATGCCCATTTCAACACCCATATGAACAAGAGCACTTCGCATCTCATTCCGTCCAATCTTTCCCTTATCTTCTCCATCTAAGTCAGTGAAGAGATTCTCTGCTAGCATCGCAAAATCATCTTCATCTTCCAAAAACAGCCTTAGTGTTTTTCCATCCAAAATGGCAACAACAAGGGGATCATCTAAACACAAGAGCCAAGTATAAGCAGTCTGCCCTTTGCATTTGATTAAAACAGAAAGTCAATTCTAAATGAAATCAACTAAGGGAATGAAAAGGTTGCAATTTTCAGCACATCTCTATGGTAAACAAATTATTTCAAAAACATAAAAGCAAAAAAACTAATAACAATTCCCACAAAAGAGTTACCCATAGCTAATATCTATCAAATGGATGGTTTAGACCCCAAGATGACAACTAATAACAACAATTTCTTATCATCAAAATTAATACAAGGTAAAGCTCATAGAAAACATAAAACTAAATAATAAATCCATAAAACTAGTTGGGTTAGCAATTTGAGAGTGGTGAATAACTAGTCGTGGATCAGTTGGAACCATATTTGATAATATTAGACAAAAATAAAAAAGAGCACTATACTATTACTTTTGACTCTATTTTAACAAATTGCATGAGATAAATTCATTAAAACAAAAGGAGGGGGACAGTTTCTAGGATAGTGGTAATCATGTTTACACTAATAACCGTGAAATCATGAGTTCAGATAGGAGGCAGCCTAGTTAGTATAAATCAAAGACACATCCAGGATTAGTGCTTAAGAGAACAAATTTTTTAACATGTCTTGATGGGGACATATAGGAAGATAGATAGAAAGAAGACGAGGAGTGAACTCTTTAAACTTTGAGGATCACTTCATAAGTTCCATATCAAAAAAGGAATTTTAAACCTAGAGGACGGTCGTCCCCTGCATCCTTCTCTAGCTGTACCCTAGGGACAGAGATTCCTAAGGGCCAAGCCTAGTTACATGGTTCAGAGTATCAACTAATATCAATGTGACTTGGTGCATTCTGATTCAATGTTGTTACACGTTTCAGTTTCACATAAACTATGAGTCTCATGCAGTACGATGGAGTAGTCAAAACCATTTCCAAGTCAACTTGAGTCGCCAGTGTCACTACCACCGAATCAGTCAATATCATTCCGAGATGCTACATAATGCTTGGGTTCTTGTGATGTTAAAATTTTTCTTCAACATAGCCTTTCATTAGTAGCGGCTGATACCATCACACGACCTTGCAATGGATGCGTCTTCGTTTTGTACAAGTCGATGGTAATACCAGAACTTTGAACCAAGTTGTACCCAGTCCACCACTCCTACCTCCTTGGATTGAAGCAAGACCAAAGTGGGTAGCTTATGAAAACCTGTAGCTCCAACAAAACAGCCAAGTCAGCAGTGCAGCTCAATGAAGATTCAAGTCCATCAGAAGATCTTACGCATGGATGTACTGAGCACAAATCCAAGACAAATGGCTGAGCTTGGAATCACATGGTTGAACTGGAAGTTTGTTAGGAATTTTTTCTGTGTATATAGCACTCATATAGTTAACTTTGGTTTGTAATTTCTTGGGCATCACTCTTGTAACTATATTTATCGTGTAGTTAGGTACCAATTGGTTGCATCAATGAAAGAAAGCTTTCTTCCTTCTCCTCTCTGTTACTCTCCTCTCTCTATGTTCTTTCATCTTACTAAGATATAGAAAAATCAGCACAATATCAGAGCAGCAGTGGCTTCCACAACACCAGAAACTCCCAATGTTTCTTCTCCTTCCTCTTCCTGCACGAATGTTGCTGTGATTAACACCAATTCCAATTCAAAGGACCTTGCTAGTCCACATTTTCTCAACCCAAATGATAGACCAAGGACTCCTGTTACTAATCATCCTCTCACCAATGATAATTATCACTCTTGGGCTCAAACGGTTCGAAGATCACTTCAAATCAAAAAGAAGTTGGGATTTATTGATGGAAGTCTCTGTGAACCAGCTGATCCCAAGTATCCTATATTGGATTCATGGCTTGAATGCAATGATATGGAAATGACTTGGCTCCAGAATGAATGTCTTTGGAAATCAAGAATAGTGTTGTCTATGTGGAGACTGCACATGAACTCTATATGGAGCTGGAGCAAAGGTTTGCTCAGCAAGATGGTCCAAGGATTTATGAACTAAAACAACCAATACATACTCTCTCTCAATGGGAAGACTTTGTCAGTTTATATTTCTTGAAATTGAAAGGATTGTTTGATGAACTTTTGAATTTTGAATCCATACCATCTTGTACATGAAGAGCTATGAAATTGTTCTTGAAAATCAGCAACGAGATTAGATTATGAAGTTTCTTGTGGGGCTAAATGACTCCTTTACAAACATTAAAGCACAAATCATTTTGATTAAACCAATACCTAGTTTAAGTGAGGATTATACTCTAGTTCAGCAAGAAGAAAACGAAAACAAGTCTCAACAGGTCTTTGTATAATTGACTCCCTTGCATTAGCAGAAAAAACTAGTTTCACCACTGGGTGCAACTTGGAAGGGTTAACCCGAACCCAACCCGAAAAATTTAGTACTTAGGTTGAGGTTTTAAATATTTGGGTTAGGCTTGGGCAAAAAAATCTCAACCCGAATTCAATTTAGACAATACCCAAGTTGAGTCATTTGGTTTACGGGTTTAAACTGAACCCGAATTTATAAAATAGGGTTCAACCACTTTTTTCCTTTTCAAAACCTTATATATCTATTTAACCCAAAAAATTTTACCCATCTTTTTTCGCTCACCCCTTTCTCTTCTCCTTCTCTTCTCCAAATTAAGGTTTGTTGGGCTCTAGCCTTTTTTCCTTCTCAATCTTACCCTTCGATCTGCAACACAAACGCAATCTTATATCAAGATCTACACACATCCATCTTATACAGATACTCACTATACCAACTGCTGCTCCTCTATTCCTCGTTATCGCTACAATCATTGGATTGCTAGCCTGGTGTAGTTCTATTCGCTACGTCACTAGTGATTTTGAATTTGACATATTCACTAAAGATAGAGATCTAGGGTTTATTTAGTAGTTTTTATTGTTACTTTTTCCTCGATTTACTTTTACTATTATGGTGATGCTGCAAATGAACCGGTAATGATGATCACATTACATGATTTGGGATAGTATTGAACTTATTTTTCATTAACACAATACATGATGATTTTAGGGTTTTTTGTCTTTTTTTTTAATTGTTGTGACTTGGGCATGAATATTTTCATTATATTTCATGATTTAACCCGACTTTAACCTGAAATTCAACCCGATAAGTCTAGCTCGAGTTTGAAGATTTAATGACGAGTTGGACCTAGGTTAATGATGGTCGGGTTGAAGCTTGGGTTGGATTGGGCACGGGCTGAGGGTTTGGTTTTTCTGGTTGAGCATAGATTAACCACTTAACCCAGCTGAGTTACACCTNGGTTGGACCTAGGTTAATGATGGTCGGGTTGAAGCTTGGGTTGGATTGGGCACGGGCTGATGGTTTGGTTTTTCTGGTTGAGCATAGATTAACCACTTAACCCAGCTGAGTTACACCTCTAACAATGAGTAACAGACAATTTGAATCTTAGAAGAGAGAAAAGTCTTACTACAAAATTCCTAGCCACTCACTAGATAAGTGCTTCAACGATAATCTAGATATGGAAAAACCACTCGGTACTCGTTGTAATATTACTAGACATACCAGGCTGCGTACATCTAGTCCTCCCTAAACCCCACAATGGCGAGAACCTCATGCACGCCCTATACCATTGATAGATGCTACAAACTTTATGGTCATCCACCTGGGCACAAGCCACACAACAAAACCAAAGCATTTGTTTCATNAGTACTCGTTGTAATATTACTAGACATACCAGGCTGCGTACATCTAGTCCTCCCTAAACCCCGCAATGGCGAGAACCTCATGCACGCCCTATACCATTGATAGATGCTACAAACTTTATGGTCATCCACCTGGGCACAAGCCACACAACAAAACCAAAGCATTTGTTTCATCAACAAATCAAGTCAATCAAGTTAATTAACCAAATCATGAGTAGAACACTAAAGGTTCCCCTACTACTATTACTAAGGAGCAATATCAACATCTCACGGCCTTACTCCAATCCAAGACTCCACATCCTTCTGCTAACCAAGTTCAATCCACTCCAAACACTGCATATATTGATTCTAAGCCTACTCCCAATGCATTTGATTTGATCCACTGTGACATATGCGGACCTTGCACTCATATGGCCTATGATGAATCTAGATACTTCCTTACAATTATTGATGATTTTACAAGGTGAACATGACTCTATCTAATGAAAACTAAGTCCCAAACCAAGCCATTTCTCAAGTCATTTTGTTCACTCATTGAAACTCAATTTCAAGCCAAGATCAAAGTCATTCGTTCAGACAAAGAAAATGAGTTTGGCATAACAAATTTTTTCCTAGAAGAGGGAATCATTCACCAAACAAGTTGTGTATAAACCCCTCAGCAAAATGGAGTTTTCGAGAGAAACATCAACACATCCTAAATGTGGGCAGAGCCCTCATGGTTCATTCATCCATCCCTGTTGATTTTTGGATTGATTGTGTACTAATTGCCACCTATTTGATCAAATAGAACTCCAACTCCTAAATTGCAAAATCAATCTTCATACCAATTGCTCTTCAAAACCAAGCCAGACTAAGGGCGTGTTAGGTTATCATCTATAAAATAGTTTTTTGTTCTCAAAATTTCAAAAACACTCAAAACTTGTTTGCTTAGCATTTTTGTTCTCAAAATTTTCGAAAAAAATGAGATTTGGAGCACAAAAACAGAAAACAGCTAAAACTTATTTTCAAAGTTTTCTTTGAAAATTTTGGAAACACAGAGACAAGCTAAATGAGGTCTACCCTTCAAATCTCCTTACCAGCAAAACGTCTTCTTTTTTTTTTTTNGAAAAAAATGAGATTTGGAGCACAAAAACAGAAAATAGCTAAAACTTATTTTCAAAGTTTTCTTTGAAAATTTTGGAAACACAGAGATAAGCTAAATGAGGTCTACCCTTCAAATCTCCTTACCAGCAAAACGTCTTCTTTTTTTTTTTTCCTCTCCCTCTCTCAACTTTGCCCAGTGTCTTCTTCTCCACCGTCTTCATTGCCAAGCATCCTCTTCTTTTTTTTTTTCCTCTCTCTTCACTATCTAGCGTCTTCTTCTTTTTTTTTCTTCTCCGGTGTCTTCACTACCCAGCCTCTCTCTCTCTTTCGCAACAACTCCAGATCTTTGTGTCTGCGTGTGTGTGTGTGTTTTATGTGTGTGTATGCCTATGTGTATGAGTTTGTGTGTGTGCGTGTGNTTTTTTTCCTCTCCCTCTCTCAACTTTGCCCAGTGTCTTCTTCTCCACCGTCTTCATTGCCAAGCGTCCTCTTCTTTTTTTTTTCCTCTCTCTTCACTATCTAGCGTCTTCTTCTTTTTTTTTTCTTCTCCGGCGTCTTCACTACCCAGCCTCTCTCTCTCTTTCGCAACAACTCCAGATCTTTGTGTCTGCGTGTGTGTGTGTGTTTTATGTGTGTGTATGCCTATGTGTATGAGTTTGTGTGTGTGCGTGTGTGATTGTGTTTTGTGGAGACAGAGAGAGGGAAAAGAAAGAGAGGTGGAAATTGTGATTATTGTCCAAACAAATTTTATAATTTTTGTTCTTTAAAATTATTTTCAAAAATATATAACCAAACAGGTTTTGTAATCTAAAAATTTTCAAAAACACTTTTTTAAAACTCTTCTCAAAAATTATTTTTAGATACTGTTTTTTGAAACGCAAACCAAACAGGCCCTAAGTATCTTAGAATTTTTGGATGCCGATGTTATGCTTCCACATTGAAACAAAACAAACACAAACTAGACCCTATAGCCAAAAAATGTGTCTTATTGGGGTATCCATTGGGGGCCAAAGGCTATAAACTGCTAGACTTTGATGATCATTCCATTTTTCATTCTAGGGATGTTTTCAACAAGAACATTTTTCCTTATAGGACAAACAATTCATCTTCTGTCCCACATTCGATCCATCATTCACATTCCACTTCTTATGTTTCTTCACCATTCACATCTTTTCAACTATTTTCTACTCCTAATTTTATAGAAAATGTACTGGTTTCAGATCCAACTCCATCAAATCTTTTTGACATCCCCAGAAATTATTTTGTCCACTTACCAATACACGGCCTACATCAAAGGATATTTATACGCCCTCATCTCACATTGGCAGTCCCAATCACACTTCTGCAGATACCTCTGTAGAAAACCAGATTGTTTTTCCTCCCCATAGATTCAGCAGAGTAAGGAAGCAACCACTGTATCTCAAAGACTACTACTATCAGCAAGCTCTTGTTCCTTATTCTTCTCAAGAGATTGCCACAGGCTCCAAACAGTCAGGTCATTCTTATCCTCTATCTTCTTTCTTATCCTATGGCAAGCTTTCACATGACTATGCAGCATTTGCTATATAAATTTTGAGCCATAGCGAGCTTGACACATACCATCAAGCTGTTAAAACCTTAGAGTGGTGTAAAATCATAGATAGTGAAATTGCTGCCTTAGAATTCAATAATACTTGGGGAAATCACAGATTTACCAACCGCAAAAGGAATCTATTGGCTCAAATTGGTATATAAGATTAAATACAATTCAGATGGGACTATAGAAAGGTATAAAACCTGTTTAGTTACAAAGGGTCATATTCAACAAGAAGGCCTTGATTACCATGAGACATTCTCCCCTGTTGTAAAAGTTAGAATAGTCAAGATTTTATTAGCATTGGTTGTAGTTAAAGGTTGGTTTTGCATCAATTTGATGTAAACAATGCTTTTCTATTACATGGGGTATTAGAGGAAGTTGTTTACATGCAAATACCCCTCGATTATTTACCAAAGAGCAAAACAAAGTTTGCAATTTGAAGAAAAGTCTATATGGCCTTAAACGGGCTTCCAAACAGCGGTATGCCAAATTCTCATCTTCCATGATTAACTATGAATTTGTTCAATCTTATGAAGATTATGGTTTATTCGTCAAGAGAAAAGAAACTTCCTTTATGACTTTATAAGTTTATGTTGACGATATCATTGTTGCCTCAAATGATGCCCATGTTGTTTCCTAGCTGAAGGGATTTTTAAATGCTCAATTCAAGATTAAATACTTAGGATCTCTTAAGTATTTCTTTGGTATGGAAGTAGCCAGAAATCCTCATGGAATCCAAATTTGCCTAGGAAAGTATTCTCTTGATATTCTCACAGATTCTAGATTGATTGGAAGCAAACCTGCCAAAATAACTATGGATCAAAACTTGAAGCTTTCAAAGGATAATGGTGAACTACTTAATGATCCCACTTTGTACAAAAGAATTATTGGGAGATTTCTCTACTTAACCATTACCAGACCAGAAATTCCTTATTCAGTTAACTCATTGAGTGAATTCAAGGCAACACCTTGACTTACTCATCTCAATACAGCATACAAAGTACTAAAAAACATTAAAAGATCTCCAGCTCAAGAACTTTTCTTACTTTCCTTTTCATCTCTACAACTCACAGCTTACTGTGATTCTGACTAGGCTGCATGTCCCGATACCAGAAGGTCTACAACTGGTTATTACGTTTTTTTAGGTAGTCTCTTGTTTCATGGAAATCCAAAAAACAAATCACAATCTCCAGAAGTTCATTTGAAGCAGAATATCGATCAATATCTGTAGATTGTTGTAAGCTGACTTGGATTAAATATCTTCTTAACGATCTTTCCATTCCCCATAGTCAACCTATTATTCTCCATTGTGACAATCAATCAGCTCTCCACATTGCAGCTAACCATACATTGAGTTTGATTATCATCTAATCCGAGACAAAATTTAAGAGGGCATGATCTTCATTGCTTACATATACCCTCACATTGTCAACTAGCTGACATTTTAAATAAAGCCTTACCATTCACCCTTTTTCATTCTCTTCTTCTCAAGCTGAGAGTATGTTATATATACTCTCCATCCTGCGGGGGAGTATCAAAATCTGTAGCTCCAGCAAAACAATCAAGTCATCAAGCCAAGTCAGCAATGCATCTCAATGAAGATTCAAGTCCACCAGAAGATCTTACGTATGGATGTATAGAGCACAAATCCAAGGCACATGACTGAGCTTGGAATCACATGGTTGAAATAGAAGTTTGTTAGAAATTTTTTCTTTGCGTATATAGCACTTAGATAGTTAACTTTGGCTTGTAATTTATTGGGCATCACTCTTGTAACTAGTATATACATATCGTGTAGTTAGGTACCAATTTGCTGCATCAATGAAAGAAAGCTTTCTTCCTTCTCCTCTCTGTTACTCTCCTCTCTCTATGTTCTTTCATCTTACTAACATATAGAAAAATCGGCATAGCTACCTTTTCTTTCACTAAAAAGAAATTTATTCGCAAACCAATAAAATAATCAAACTCGATTCCTAGGATTCCAAGTTCCAACTTTAAAAAAAAATGCACTTTCACAAACAAAACGGACATACACAACACACACACACTAGAAATTACAATCGGGAGAGCAGTTCAAAAACCAACAGATGGATCATCCAAGAGCTAATCAAAACATCACATACAGTTCTGTGAGTTATTAAAACAAAAATAACAAAAAACCTAAATAAATTGCAGAAACGATTGCAATAACATAAANATCATCCAAGAGCTAATCAAAACATCACATACAGTTCTGTGAGTTATTAAAACAAAAATAACAAAAAACCTAAATAAATTGCAGAAACGATTGCAATAACATAAAAGAGAGAAATTCATTGGATGATCACATACCAGAATTAGCAAGCATATATTTACGTGTTTGAGTATTTTAGTTCTGTGTATATGCACACATGACCCACCAATAGACACAACGATTTTTTATTTGGAAAATTAAGTTATAGTCAACACCTTTGAGCCCATCGGCGACCGCAGTGATGAAATCTTTCAGCTTAGAAGCAGCCTGATCCTCGTCAAGTTCTGCACGTCGGAAAGCGGCGGCGTCGATGTTGAGGCGTTTGAGAGCGTCGGACATGAGATTTTCCGGTAATGCGAGGCCAAACAGCGATGAGGAAGCTCTCGATTCTGCGAGTTCGAGCACCTGAGCTCCGGTGACAGAGCCGGTAGAAAACGGCAGAGAGAGGTCGATGGATCGCAGCTGTGAACCATCAAGAACGGTCAAGCCTGCGTCGGCCATTTTCTGATCAAACGGATGTAAGACTCTGTGTGTGAGTGTGTGTGTGTGTGTGAGAGAGAGAGAGAGAATTGAATTTGAATTGAAATAAGGAGAGACGACTAAGAAACTGAACCGACTAGGGTCTCATNAGCCTGCGTCGGCCATTTTCTGATCAAACGGATGTAAGACTCTGTGTGTGAGTGTGTGTGTGTGTGTGAGAGAGAGAGAGAGAATTGAATTTGAATTGAAATAAGGAGAGACGACTAAGAAACTGAACCGACTAGGGTCTCATTTCCATCGTTTTGACGTTTGTATAATTTGCCTGGTATTGGTTTTTTTTTAATACTTAAAAAAAAGGAGGTGGTGTCTTAGGAAGAACGTCCAAAAATCAACCCAATAGACATTGATTAAATTATGAGATATTTAATTGTGCTCATTACTTCTCTTAAAAATAAACCTAGTTAAAATAGCGTAGCGGTCAATTATCGAACTTCAACGTGGATTTTAAATTTAACTAGGACTTGGCACATGAAAAACTCTCCCAAATAGCATTGATGATATTGGTTCTATTTAATTACTTTTTTATTTAAGATTTGAATTTTCCTAGGCAAATAAGAGTGACAATTTTCAAAATAATGCATTACCACCATACAATCATAGTATGAGATTAGTAATTAACATTGAATATTACTTGACACAATCTCAAATATGGCATGACTTATTATAACAAAAAGAAAAAATAAACGAAGTGTGTTAGTGTTATCAGGTTCAAGGGCAGAGCTATTTATCAGGACAATCGCCCTCCTCAATTTTTTTTTACACAAAACAATATTAGAATACATATAAATTTTTTAAAATAAGCCCCTAAAAAAAAATCTCATATACTTTTATTCTCCTAATCATTTATAGTATTTGAGTTAATTTTTTAAGCCTAAATTAAGTAAAATTAAATAAAATTTATTTAGTTGAATCCCCACACATTATTTTCAATAAGCTCTTTGTTCTCTCTATTCCTATATCTCATCTATTTAATTATAGGAATAGAGAGAACAAAGAGAGGAGATGAGATATAGGAATAGAGAGAACAAAGAGCTTAAGAATTTTTTTAATTATATTAAAAACAAATATAATTATATAGAGAGAACAAATATTATATTAAAAACAAATAGGAATAGAGAGAACAAATATTTAATTATATTAATAATGAGATTATCAGAAACAATTGTAAATATATTGAATAAAAGAAATACCAATCACAATTTAAAGTTTTTTGTATTTTTTATTCATTCAATTTTGTTATCTTATTATTGTCCAAATTTGCTACCACTATAATACCTATTTGACTCCACCCCTATTTAGTTAGACCACACTCAACATTCAAAAATGACATAACCAAAAGTAAATGATGATGTTTGATTGGTATCCAATTATGATGTTCATAAATGTAGTTGACAATTGCAATATAGATGAATTGACCTAGTCATTTAAGAACTTGCTCTATTGGGGTTTTTTTTTTTTCAAATTAAATACAAATGGTTATTTTTTGTTCAAGTTATTTTTTATCTTTTGAGTGAGTTGACTAAATCTTAATCCTTTAACCTTTTATCTCTGTGTTTAGAAGCTAAATTAGGTTTGTTCCAGGAGCTAATGTAATGAGGCATCAATTTTCACCTATAATCCAATATGTTAGTGATTACCAATACATAACTTCATGCAAAAGCAACTCGATCACTGTTTTGTTACTCTTTGTAAGTTCTGATATGAATCTTTCTTACAAAAGTTACGAGGATACAAATGGTGCAATTTATCTACCCAAAAAATTGTTTAAGTTATTTTTAGGGTTAATTCCATTTTGCACCTAAAAGATACTAAATTTCTCAATTTGTACCCTAAAAGTTAAACTTTCCAACATTGCACCATCCATCGTGTGAAATTATTTCAATGTGACGTCCATTGATATCTTCGTCTGTTTTAAGCTCATCTGATAAGCACATGCAATCTAGAGGGGTTAATATATAAAACTCTAAACAAGTTTTGGCGAGCAAATGGTATGCATAGCACACTCCTCTTCATATACAGATGCAGATGAAAAATATGAAGAACGAAAAGAAAAAAAGAGAAGGAGAGGAAGAGTAAAATGGAGGGGTATTGTTACTGTGGTAGGAGAGCTCAAATGAAGACATCATTGACAAATTTTAACCCTGAGAGGAAGTCTAATCATGAGATAAAATTGCCCATTTTTTGCTTTATTTTGAATGAATAATATTCAGAAAATTTGGGTAGCAATTAGGTGTGCATTATTTGTTGTAAATCTAGTTACATATTTTTTTGTTTAACATAATTTATAGAATTTGTTTTTTGCTTAGTTATGATTCTGCTATTTTTATGTTATATTTTTTGTTACTAATTTTTGTGTCACTAGCAATTTACGTGAAATATTTTTCGTCACATTGGATAGGTTGGTGATCCATATGGTTACTTCGCGTGGATTAACCCACCAATGTATACCCATTCACGCTAAATAATACCTAGATTGTTGCGCCGTATGACGAGGTTAGAAGCACAGATGGAGAGAAACAAAGTGAGGGCTAGGATATTTTAGTTATGCGTTGGTGGTTCGTGGTTGATCCTGGTTGTCATTTATCAGTACATGGAAGGATCTGATGATGATGATGGCTTAGCTAAGGAGCTTCCAAATGATGGTATTTAAGTTTGAGTTACCCAAAGATTGTCAATTCTGGGATTTAATATGTGCAAGGTTGTCAATTTTGTAGATTATGTGAATGGTGTCAACTTGTTTTTGTGATATTTGTAATGTTGTCAGCTAATTTGGACACAATGCAGATGTTTGAATTAGCATTTCCTGTAATGTGATAATATATGTAATATTTATGGAAGTAATGCATTGGTTATGTTTGTGTTTTAGTTATTTGTTAGATTATATTTGTAATCGGTTAATTTCGTGGAATCTATTGTAAAATCTCAATATATTTTATGGTCATGATGCTATCAAGTTTAAGATTCGACAACGTCATTAAAAGAAGGAGATCACGTGTCGAAGTTACATAATTCAACCTTCGTATGCACCTTCATGCTTAGGACAAATGAATGACCTAAACGCCTAAGATGAACCCTTAGTTATTTTAACATAGGATAATTAAGATGAAAATGGAATCGGAAGCGATTCGATTATAACTCCTAGGTGATTTAAAAAAAAAAAAAACTGACGTACCGCAAAGGATTTAGCACAGGGATGTTTACCCTCCTTTAAAAAAATTGCAAGTAGAAGTCTCCTTGGAAAAGGCATAAGGAATGATAATGCGACATCTTTTAGCATATTATAGGTTTAGCTTTGAATTTTTTTACCTAGATATTGCATGAGCAATCTTACAAAGGAAAATGGAGTTTGCCAATTTAGTTAAATAGTTTTCATGATTTCTGATTTTATTACTCACTTGATTTACTTTGATGTGTCATTTAAATCTTATATTGTAATGAGATTCTTTTAACTTAATCTAATTTGTGATTGTTATGGTTTAGCGACCTTGAAGCATGATTAAAGATGTTACCACATGGTGAGATGTGAACTCTTGACTATTAAAATCCCATTTAGTTTTTATTATAAAAAGATCTCAAATATTGAGGCTAATCCTATTCTCAATGAACAATTGATAATGAACTTTTAAAACTCTACTAAGTTTAACTGATAAAGGATGAAGGAAATCATATTGAGGTTTGTGAGGGTGTTATGTGAAATGCATTAGTTCTGATGTGTTAGTTCTTGACCATTTTTCACCTTTTTTTTTTCAACTTTAAAAGTTGTAGTTTTGTAAGTTGTAGATGTGGAGAGAAATTAGACTTGGTGCTTTACTTTGGAATTTTTTGGTCCAGCAATCTTCTAATTATATCTTTCACAATTTACAATATTTTGTCAAATGTATCTTTAACCATTTACAACGATATCTAGGGGTATTCAAATTTTTAAGTATCTATAAATTCCGACTCTACTTTATTCTACTCTATCCGACTCTATTGATCGGCTACCCGAAAGAATTGGATAGATCAACGGAAGACTTTTTGGTATTCTGCAAAAAATCGAGTAACAATGTGGAATACCTACAAAATTTTCGTAATCCTACCCTACTCTACCTTACCTGCATAAATATGTTAATCCCTAAAAATTAAAATCTAAAAATCTAGAAATCCTAATGTTTATGTTGATGTTTATGATTTTCTTGTTGTGTTTTATTGTAATTATTTTTGTATTATCTAATTTATTGTATTTTTTTTTAGTGTTATTAGTTTATTGTGTTAGTTAATTGGTTCAAGTTATTAAATTAAATTGTTAAAATAATTCAAAAATTAATAATTAAAAAATATGTATTCACTCAATTTCCTACCCGATTGTTTTAGACAGAATTCGGATAAGTATAGTACACTTGATCAGATAAGCTAGACCAAGAATTAATTCTTCCGTAAAGTATCAGGTAGGAAGATGAAATATTATAATTCTTACTCGTAAGGTAAAGTGAACACCCCTAACAATATCCATCAAAATGTCTTTTAATTGATAAATAATGCACGAATGCATATGGTATTATTAGTATGTTCAAAATGTATCTTCTTTGTTTATTCTAGTATCAGGTCTTTCTCATGCATGCCTTGCGCGAAGGGGCAAGTTCGCATATGGTATAACAATATCATTAGACACCTAACATGTGAATTATAAACATTTAGTTGTAGATTGTTAAATATTATTTTTTATTTAAATAATAAAAAAAATATTTTTTATTTAACAATATCATTAGATACCTTAGCTTTGTAAATTATTTTTTTTTCGAAGGCAATCGACTACCCATCGTTAAGTACTTGACCAACAGGGGAAAAATAATAAAGTTTAGAAAAAAATTTAGTCACACTTTTTTTAATTTATTATATCTTTAAGGATATTCATTATATTTTTTGAATATTCACTGACACCTCATCTCAGATTAAAGATCTTAATTACAATACAATTTTAC